CGCTGATTTATCAGGATGAACTCCTCATCAGAGCCTTGTTGCAGGAAAATGCTTCTCTCCAACAGCAGCAGATTGATTTCGGCGTTTTGTGGTTGCGGCGGCTGCAGCCTGCTGCCCACCGGCCAACATTTCCCGCCTGTGAGCGAGCACTTCTTCCACGCGAGCCGTGCAGCTCGGTTTGAAACCCTACGTGTGAGGAGCTGCTCTGGGTGACATTTTGGTCACAGTGGTGGGAACACACAGGGCTGGGAGGAGGGCTTGTCCAGAGTTCCGCTGCTACGTAGATGGAAGCAGCTTCCGGTTTGTCCTTTTGCAGCCTGGCTCCATGCACGTAAACTCACAGTCTCTGTGTAGCAGACTCAGCTTGCCGGGCAGCACCCGTCGCCGCCCTGTCCTCGAGTGACAAACCTGAGGTTCCTGCAGGTGACGCTGGCCTGAGACCCACACTGCCATCTCTGAGCAGGGCCTCGGCGCCCGGCCCCTGTCCCCTCTGGGAACCAGCTTCAGTGAGCAGCCTGGCATCCAACCCTCGCCACATCCATGTCATTCCCTTACTGTGAATCCTCACGTTCACCCTCAATGTTTTCAGGAAAAGAAGGCAGAAGAGCGAGCGTGAGGAAGGTGTTCACATCATGAACAGGGCTCGGGTGGGGCGCATGGTGACCGATCCGGGAGCCCCCACACCCACCGGCCTCCGAGGCCCACGCCGAGCTTGGCAGGGAAGGTGTCCCCACCTTCTGCCCTCCTGATGCTCTGCTTCTGCCCAAGCCCTTTGGAGGCCACCTGCGCACTCTGTGACGTCAGTAGCGGCTTTCCTTTGTCCTTGCCGGCATGCTTGAGGCCCTGGCCCATGCCTGTGCCCCAGCTCCCGCCAGCCTGGGGCCTCGAAGAGGGCACCACAAGGAGCCGAGCCCAGCCCCAGGGGCACTCGGTGCCTGCTGCATGGAACTGAAGAGGATGGCTCTGAGCACTTTCTGATCCTTGGCTGTCCTTCCCTCACTGCCGCTGACAGCTCCTTACCCATTCTCTCCGCCCATAAGGCCGGGTCACAGCCTTGCACCTCGGACAGAGGGGAAGACACAGGCTGCTCTGCTCTGGGATGGGGTCTTCTCCCTGGGTCCGCACTAGGCTGAAGAGCAGAGGCTCAGAGAGGGCCAGCTCGATCCCGTCCCTCACAAAGGCAGTGACCCCTGGGACTTGAGCACATCCCACCTCTTCCTGCCATCACCCTGGGCTTGGGCTCCAGCAGGTAAGCTTGGCGGACAACTCCTGTCCAGTGGTGTGCAGACAGGAGACCCTAACCCGGCTGTCCGCTGATCCACTGTGGCGGCCCATGCCACCTCTGGGTTGAGGGGTGCACATCCTGCTCTTCCCCCACCCCCTGGGGAGGAGACCCCGCTCAGGGTCTGGACAGGGTTAGGGTCACTTGGGGGTGGAGTCTGGTCCTGGGGCAACCTGGAGCCTGAAGGGAAGGGGCGGCCTGAGTGAGCAAAGCCCTTGGGCCTGAACCGTGGGCTCCATGGAGACGCGGAGGGGAGGGAGAGTGGAGGCTCTGTCGAGACCCCCGAGTGCGCGGGGAAGGAGCAAGTGAGTCAAACTGCCCAGGGCTGACGGGAGTGTCTGGGAGATGGGCAGGGGACGCCCACCCGTGCATGAGCTGTGTGGTGCCCTTCAGCCCCTGGTTCATGAAATGGGGGAAGGGCGCCCTGGAACCCCGGGCGCTGTCCCGTGGTCCAGCCCACTGAGTGGCACCGGTGGATGTGGAGATTTGTGGCTGATTCCCGTGCCACGGATGACAGGACAACCACCCAGGGCACAGGAGACTTCGCAAAAGCAAACACTAAGCCTCTGCTGCTTTGACCCCCTGGGGTGCATGCTGTTTGTCACTGCAGCGAACCCAGCTTATCCTGGCTTGTCAGCACGGCCTTGCAGGGGTCCACGCCAGCACCAGGTGGCCACAGCTGTGAACATCGCCCTGGGAGACGGGAAGAGCTGACTTGTGGCGCCCCAGCACAGACACCCGGCAGGAAAACGCTGGCGGTCTCGTCTGTCCTTGTGCTGCACTCCTCTGCAGGGCCAGGCACTGCTTTCTAGTTTCAGAACATGGGGTGCAGGGGTGGGGGCTGCCTCCCCGCTAGGCCGAGAGCCCCCAGACTCGCCGGCGTTGAGAGCGCAGAGGCGTCTGCAGACACAACCCCAAGTCCAGGGAAACCAGGGAGCTCCGTGAGGACGACATCACCCTTCTGCCACTCAAATTTCAGGGCCTTGGCATGAGCCAAAGCAGTGCATATTACGGCACCCTCTGGATTTTAGTGGCAATTCTAGCCTATAAGCTCATTTTAAGGCTGCAGAGGAAGCCAGAATTTTACTATAAGGGTGGCAGAGTGGATCTGAGACTTGGGAAACAAGCAGCAGCCGCTCACCACTTCCCTCCCTGAGCTGCACCAAGCTCTGAACCAGAGCCACCCTGCTCGTTTTGGGGGTGACTCGGCCATTGCTAACAAGCCAGCAGGTGAAGGGATCCTCAGGTGTCGCTGTTCCAACCCGGGCTCCACTACCCTGGAGTTCATCGCCAAGCTGCAGTGCAAGATGAGCCACAGGAAATGCCCACTCCTGCTTTGCATGGACAGAAGGCGGCTTCCGGCAATTAGTGCCTTCAGTCACATTACGCACTGGATAATGCCTTGTGACAGGGCAGTATTTCCTGCTACAGATCAGTTTTATAGCATTTGTTCATAATCAGACTTGAAATGTTACCTAGAAACAAAATATGTTTTCCTTGCAGCAGTCAGACCCTATTAGAAATCCAAGGTTTTACAAATCACCATGTTAACAGTTCTACCCCCTGGCTAAGGCTTGCTTTCCTTAAATAGTATTAAATTCAGTCCCAGAAGCTCAAGCCGCTTTGAGCATTACTCTCCTTCTGTGCACTGACTTGGAAGAAAAAACCTGATGGTCCAAATATATCTAGGGTCCTACTACATACAACTTAATCAATCAGCCAGTGCTCCTTTTTGCAGGGAAAACAATGTTAGTGCCTTATTAAAGTGTTATACTTGTCATTAGGCCACAAGATACTATTTTCACACTTTCTTAAAGATGGAATTTCATCGCTTAAAAAGACCAGCCTACTTCTACGTAAGAAGAATTATTCTCATATCCTGACCACCTAATCATACGCTGTGGGTGAGCGAAGAAATAAAGAGAAACATCAGCAGCAGAGATTTGGAGCAGTACAACTTCATGCCAGGTCACAGTGTTTCTGGAGCCAGGGACACCGGCTTTGGGTTCTGGCCCTGCCTTTTGATCACTGTAGAATCTTGGGCTCAACTTTCCACCCAGCAATGTTAGCTGTTTTTATAGAAAGACTTTTCTTGATGAATAATCCCTCTGATTAAATCTCCCAACCTTTCCTTTGTCCAGCAGACAGTGACTGAGCATTTACCTCGGGCTCCACCTTCCTGTGCCGGGTCTTGGGAGACAGCAGGCTACGGTAAGATGGACCAGGTGGCCCCATTCCATGCCTTCCAGCCTGTGGGAGCAGGGTACACACAAGAGCCACCAAGCAGCTTGACGGGAAGATGGCCCTCCAAAGACAGGCCACCTCCCAAGCCCTGGAACCCGCAAGTGTGACTACGGGGAAGAGCACCTTGCAGATGTGGTCAGAATCACAAGAGCGCCTCCTGATCCTGCAGGTGGCCCTGCTGCCGTGAGACAGTCCTGCTAAGACATGGCCAGGGGAGACTCCAGGAAGAGGTGCTGATGGAGAAGCGCTGTACAGGCCCTTGCCTTGCCATTTTTTCTTTCCACAGAATGTCTTGTTTTGGAACTTCGAGTTTGTGTCGCCGGGTGCCTGTCCAATGTACCAAGATGCTTTGTGCCTGTTTGAACGAGTGACCTTGCAGGAGTGCTCTGTTCAACTCTGCCCCCTCACGAGGTTATGCTCTCCTCTCGGGAATGTTCTGTAACTCCACCCCTGTACTTCAGACTGCTCCGTAACCCCAGCCCCCTCCTTCACTGAGCATGTTCGCCTACCCAGTAGATATAAGGAGGCTCTCTCTTCTGGGAGAGGAGTCTGAGCCCCCCTGGGGCTCTCCAGTGTAATAAAGGTTTTTCTCCACCTCAACTGATCATCAGCTTCCTGAGTCTTCAAAGAATGAGAGCTGCCACACGGAGCTGTAAAGCTCAGCTGTGCCTCAGAGCTGCGTTCGAGTCACCACCCTGAGCTGTAACACTTGGCTATGTCACAGAGCTGCTCCACTCTGCCACATTACAGTCCACGAGGGGACAGAAGCAGAGACAGAAGTGACTGCCCCATGAGCTAAGGACTCAGTGACCAGACTGGAGGGAACATGGGAAGACTCTCCCCGGGGCCCTGGATGGGGCACAGCCCCTCTTGTCTCCAGAAGCATGGTTCTTCCTATCACTGCCAGCCATTCTGTGGGATCTGGGCGGAGCACAGGTGACAAATATCAATGGTCATGCCAGGAAGAAATCAGAAAAGGACACAAGACAAAGACCCAGGTGAGGACGACTGAGGTGAGCCTGGCAGGATGGGGAGGAACAGCCAGCCAGGTTCCCTGAGGACCTGGAAGCAGCAGGAGGACGGGAGGCCTCACCTGCCAATGGCCTTGGTGTGTCTGAAAACCAGAAAGTCAGCAGGCTGGACTGTGGGGGAAAAGAAGAGGTGAGAGGGTGACTGGGCTGAGGAAGAGGGACCGAATCCTGTGGGGCAGCAGAGGCACGGGGCAGACTCTGGATTCAGGGGAAACCGGATCGGACAGACCTCACCACTGCATGACCCACTCATGCCCAGTGCAGAAGGACTCCAGGTATCCATGTGTTGGATGAGTAATCACAGATCTGTCCTGGACATCCAAGTAGCTGGATTTAAAATACCCAGAGCCTTCCTAACTCGGCTGGAATCCTACCATGCTGGTTATATGAACAGTGAGGTCTCAAAGGACATCTGAGAGGTGACACAGCACAGGACACTGGAGAAATCCTCAGGCAGGTCCTTTATTTCAATCCCTTCCTCCTCCCTTTCCACCAGTCCTGTGAATGGCTCAAGCTTCACCTTGTCCTAATTCCATGCTGAGGGCCACCTGGGGCAGGTAATCACAGACTGGCAAACTCCAGGCGGCCTCCCAGGGACCCTACGGCCTCACTGCAAGCCAAGGGCACTGAGGAAATGGATTGTTTCTAGCCACTACCTCAAAGATCAGACCTGCCTGGTTCACAGGTCAAGGAAATGTTCTCAAGTACATGGGAAGTGTTTACCATTTTCCTACAGTTCTTCAGGGCTTGCCGTTTTTTTCACCACCTGAAAATTCCTTTCTTGTTCACATTATCTTTCTTGATTGTTACTTATTGTAAAAATGAAAAACAAAGATGTGGGTCGATTGTGTACGTTAGCCAAGTTCCTACGGAAAAATACGCTGGAGTTTCTTCTGCAACTCACAGTAACAGCTCAAAGGATCAAGTCAGAAGCGGGGAGTGTGGGACACTAGACTTGCTCCCAGACAGCCTGCCGGGACGACACCACTTCCCTGACTCAGAGTTCTCCCCTGCCCGCTATTTAACAACTGCAAATAGAAAATTCTGATAACTATCATACATAGCACACTCAATCTGCGGTGACCCCAACCCACCCAACTTCTGAGTAACCTGGCTTTTCCGAGTTTTATTTCCCTTTCATTTAAACTTAGTAGGAAAAAAGAAACTTAAAAACTCACGTTGTAGCCAGGGACCCCATAAAGAATGGCAATTTGCCAGGACTATAATGTGTTTTGAGTCCTACTGGTCATTTTCCAGTAAATGCTTAGTGAGAAGTATCTTCTACCCCGATCTGCAGCACAACCTCGCTCTTCCGGGGATGCACTGCTGTAAATCAGACCTTGGGGACAGCTGCGCCAAGGGAAAAGGCCAGCGGCGGCTCCTACAGCTCGTCGTGACTCTTGGTGAGATCCTCGCCGTAGTTGGTGGCCTGGCTCCCCACAAACATGTTCCAGTTGTCCAAGATTTCCTCCTTGGTGAGCTTCTCATCCTGCGGGAGAGGGAGGAGGCCGTCAGGGACAGCCGAACCCCTGGGGTCCTCCTCCACTCTCTGCTCTGCACCGAGGCGCTCCACACTGGACCAGCTTCCCGACGGCCCAGTAACCGGCAACCGAAACCCCCACGTGGCCACCAGCGCTTTGGACATCTCCAATAGCCCCCTGGAGGTCCCCCGCCGTGGCCACTGCATGACCCGCTCACCTGCTACCAGGGGAATCGGGACATTACCCAAGTGGGATGGGCAGGCCTTCGTTAAGCTTACTGGGGTTTTTTCTCTGGGCACTGGGGCTGAGCCCAGGGGCAAGCACCCCTCCTGAGCTCATCACAGCCCTGTGGACAGGGGTAACTACGCGCAGATACCAGAGCACTCCCTGGAACTCTGCAGGGCCCGAAGCTGGGCAGACAGCGGAAAGTCCGGGTGGACAGGCAGGCCGCTCACGTCCATGCCCTGCCCCTAGCCCCCCACGTTCCCCCGGTGGGGGCGCTGAGAGTGCGTCTGTACCCGTGGTTGGTGGGGCTCGGGCTGTGGTCTCCACTATGCGGCAGGGACCAGACCCTGGCCCAGTTGTCGCCAAGGGAGGAACCACCCCAGCCCAGGCCACGGCTGGAGGTGCGCTACCTTGTTCCTGTCCGACTCGTACACCAGGTGCCGCGCCTCGGCCTGCGCGTGGTCGTAGTCCTGCGGGAGGATCCAGTGCCGAATCTCGTCCTGGTCCAGCTTCCCGTCCTTGTTCAGGTCTCGGAAGTCACTGAACTGCTCTCGCTCCGACAAGACCCAGTCTGGCTCAGGGCCACCGTCCTCGTGGGAAAACATGTCCGCTACGAGGCAAGGGCGTCCTGGTGATGGAGGGCGACGGGGAAGGGACAGCCCAGAGAGATGGACCCCGAGTTTCTGGAAAGGGGATGATGGATTGGGGGCCTGGCTCGAGCAGCAGGGCGCAGGCTCTGGGGCCAGTAACAACCACCCATCCGCCAGGAAGGCCCCAGTGGACCAGTGCGGCCCGAGACGAGGAGACACAGAGGAGCACTGCTCTGCCGTAACAACCTGAGCCACGTGTAGGAAAATGATGCACCGAGACGAGACCACACCACTAGGTGAGAAAGTCAGCCACGCGGGCTTCAGTATCACACGGCTTCTCTCACACGAGACTCCAAAGTAGAAATGATCAAAAACAAAATAAAAGGAAGACGAGAGGAAACAGGGAGCTCAATCTTTTGCAAAAGGGAAGGAAGGGGACCGAGAGGAGGGAGAAGGCAGGGACGGGGAGGGGAATGAAAAGAACGCAGACGCACGCGTTACATACGTGTGCCAACTCCCCAAGATGAACGCGAGCAGCGTGTACTGCGAATATGGGTGAATAAGGAAAAAAGCAAGCAAAGGAAAGAGAACCGGGCGCTTGGTCTCGACGAGGTCTGGAGTCTGGGACTGCGTGTCACAGTGCAGTGGTGCAGCCCTAAGTTGTCGGCAAGGTGGAGGTGATAACTGGCAAGTCACAGGGTGCTGCAGGTCAAACGGGCCCTGCCGAGAGCCTCCCCAGCCGAACTGGCGCCCCGGGTGAGAGCCGATGACCATCACAACCTAAGTGCAGGTGAGACTCAGTCCTCCACATCCCTCTTCCCAAGTGACTTCCTCAAAGCCTTTGAGACAGGCACTGGCGTTACCCATGATACAGATGAGGGCGTCGAGGGCTGGTCCTGGGGCTGCCGGGGACTCAGGCACTCTGGTTCCAGCCGTGGCCTTGACCCTGGGTGCACCACTGTCCCTGTGCAGGCCGTGTCCCTGTGCACTCCCTCCGCACACAGCCCTGCTGCACAGATCCCAGCCCACCTTGCACACTGGGATGGGAAGGGTGCGGGGCCTGCTCCCCCTGCGCCAGGGAAAGAGAAGCCTCGGAGGCAGCTTCCGTGAGATGGGCACGCAGCCTAGAGAAGCCAGGTGGCTAAGGTTTCAGGATACAAAGTGCCCTCTGCAGTAAAGCTTCAATGCTGAAAACAGCGTGCCATCAATACAGGGAAACGCCAGGAAGTGGAAGGAGAGGCAGGGAGGAAGGAACAGAGCAGGACTTCCAGGCTCCCCCCGCACACACACACACACACACTGTCTGCGGAAAGGGCGTCCTGCGCATTAGTCATTTCCCACTCTACCCCACCCTGCACCTGACGCCATTTATTCCCATTTTGCAGGTGAGGAGACTGAGGCTCAGGGCGACGCCAGGACTCTCAGAGCCACACAGCCGCAGCCAGCACAGGAGCCAGGCTCCTCTGGGCAGCGCCCTGCCGCCCTCCCCTCCCGGCCAGCTTTCCACTACCCGGCCAGGAGGACAAGGCCCACCCACCGGACCAGCCGGGACCAGCACTGGCCAGGTCTCCCTGGATTTATGAGCACAGTGCGCCCCTCCTCGGCCCCTTTCGTTACTGCAGCGCTAGGCGGGGCCAGGGCTCCGAGTGACCAGCAGGAGCTCAGGTCACCAAGGGTGTGTGGACCTCACTGTAAGCCCACAAGGGTAAATGAGGCAGCGGATGGGGCGCCTCTGAGAGCCAGGGGCAACCTGGGCCAGCAGGCCGATGTGACCAAGTGGGCTGGAAGCCCCCTCTCTGAGAGCAGGGAGGCCGCCCAGGAGGACAGCTGAGTGGCCAGCACTCACCGATGTACTCATCCTGGTCCACAAAGCCGTCCCCGTTCTTGTCGATGTCCTCCAGCGTTTCCTGGGAAGCAAAGGGAAAAGAGGAAGCAAGATGGCCCTGTGCTCAAAGGAGGCGCGGGACTCCTGCTGCCCCTCGGTCCAGCATCCTGTGGTGGGGCGCCTGGTGCATTCCCTAGTTCACCCCTCAAAGCAGGCCAGAGCCCCCACCCCGTGCCGTTAACCCAGAGGCCCTGGGATTCCATGAGGAAGCTGCCAGGCCAGGACGTCCCCACCTTCCAACCAGACACCCCAGGGAGCCCCGGGGGGACCCTCAAGGAACCTGGTGTGAGGACCACCAGGCCAGGTGACTGGAGAGCCAGTCAGGGCCTGCTGGGCCGGGAACTCGGAGCTTGTGTCAGGGATGTGAGGGCTGATCGCTGAGAACAAAGGTGTAGCTGCCTCTAGAGCGCACTCTCCTGCGGAGTCGCTGTGCTCGTCTTCTCGATCTTTGTGCCCGGGCCAAAGCGCACAGGCGTCGGGAGTGCAAAACACAGGCAACCCAGCCCAGCAGGCACCACTCGGAGGCACGCGATCCCCCGCTAGACAGACGCGGGACGGCAGAGGACAGACCCCGGAGCCAGCCGGCCCTCCGTCAGAGGCAGGAGGCAGGAGAGAGCCTCTCCCGCCACGGCCAGCTGAACAATCCAGCCCTGCCGCTCCGGAGTGAGAGCCCCAGCAGAGGCTGCCCAGCGTGGAAGCAGCGGACCAGGCTCGGGCCACCTGCCCAAGAAATAGCCAGGGCTTTAGCAGATGGTGGTGGAGCAGGACAGCGGGCCCCGACACAGCAGTCATCCCTGCTGCCCTCCAGGACCACCCCGGCGGCGGCAGCCTCTGCAGCCGGGAGCTGTACTTAAGCTTCAGAGTTCTACCGCCCAAGGGCCTCTCGCTCTGGACTCTGGACCCCTTTCTAGCCCCACGGCTAAAAGGCTAAAAGGCCGGCCGGGCTGCTGCTGACAGTGCCCACTGCTCTTCTGTGCCTGTGCGGGACTCAGCCAGCCTCAGCCTGGAGTCCAGAGGGGAGCTGGCCGGGCCGTCCACACCAGGCTGCACGGAACCAGCTGACGGTCGGGCTGCCGTTACACAGTGCGCTGCCGACTTCCTGCGCACACAGGCCGACCTCTGTCCTCCCCAGCGCCCTCCAGGCCGAAGGGCAGGCAGGCGTGGGGCAGCCTTCTCCCTGGTCTCCGCCCAGCCTGGCTCCCCATGGACCTCACCAAAACCACGATCTCCTTCATGTGCTCGAACTCCTCAGGGTGCAGGAAGGCGGTGAACTCCTCTCGAGTGGCGGCCAGGTCCCCATCCAGGTCCGCGGCCTTGAACCTTCTCTCGTCCCGGGGCAGCATCTTTTTGAAGGTGAGATGGTCTGCGCTGTCCTGGAACTCTGCAGGGCTCCCTGCGGGCGAGTTTGCAAGGAGAGGCTTAACCTGCAGCTGAGCACTGCCCCTCGCCCAGCCTGGCGGCCCATGTCCAGCCCTGCCCAGCTCCCAGTGCACTGCTGCCCCGCCCCTGCAGCGGCTCTGCACACGCAGCTGCCTCCTCAGGGCCCGGCTCCCAAGCTGTCCTCCACCAGGAGGCCTCCCTGACTCACTGCGCCCTCCTCGCTTGCCAGGCTAATGCTGCAGTGCTGGGACACAGTGCCACACACAGGTAGACCTCCATCTGGGCTCTCCCCTGGGTGCCCCTGCAGTGTCCTTCAAGTGGGGCCGTGGCTTAAGGGGCTTTCGAGTCCCTGGCTCTTTCCCCCAGAGGCTTCGCTCCCAGCAGCAACTCAACTTCCTTAGGCAGCAGAGGGGGCACTACGCACCGAGCTGTTACAGGGCGGCGATGTCCCCCGAAGGGACCAGAAGCGACGACCCTGCGGTGCCTCTTACCCAGGTAGTAGCCGTAGGTGGCTTGTTTATACTCCTCCCAGGAGATCCTGTTGTCTTTGTCTCTGTCGTAGTCCTTCCAGACCTTGGCGACATTATCATAGATGTATCTTTTCTGCACCCGTTTGATCCAAACTTTGAGCTCCTCAGTGGTGACGAAGCCGTCTCCATCACTGTCGATTCGGTCCACAATCTTCCTGGGAGGAGAGGAGAAACCCCAGGCTATTTATTATCAAGGCTGCGGGCTCTTGGTCCAGCACCAGGTGGGGCAGTTACACCGTCCAGAACGCTGGGTCTCGAGTAGACGCTGTGCTGTGACTGTGCTAGCGCGCGCCTGGGCCTTTTCCTGTCCAGGACAACTCGCTTCGCCCCACACCCGACAGGCACCAGAGGCAGACACTGCTGACGGACCACGGCCTGTGTCCAGATAAAACCGAGAGGTGAGCTCCAGGCTCCTCTGCACAGCGCTCAGGGTCAGACAGCACCCACGGATGCCAGTGGACCTGCCCCGAAGACAACTCCCGGACATAACCCAACTCCTTTATTATCATTATTACTATCATTGTTGTTGTCTTTGTTTTGGTTTACTGAGACAGGGCCTCGCCATGTAGTTCGGCCTGGCTTTGAACTCACTGTGTAGCCCAGGCTGGCCTGGACTGTGTGGTGAGCCTCCTGCCTCAGTCTCCCCAGTGCCCGGCTCCCTTACCTTCTCCCCTGCTGCTGGCCTGACTTCCCTAACAAGTCCTGGGGCCCACAGACGGGATGGCACCCCATCTCCCTCACGTCTTCCTCCCTGGCCCTCGAGGTCCCGTGTGGTCCCCAGCTCAGCTGAGGGGCACCACCAGCCCCGCTGTCCGTGATGAAGCCTCAGCGTGCCCACCCTGTGGTTCCCAAGCTGCCCTCACAGCGGCAGTGGGTGGCCTCCTGTCCCTGCCTCCCCGGAGGCGCTGAGGCCCCAGCGCAGGGCAGGCCAGCGCCAGCCAGCACCCAGGGCATTCTGGTGAGGAGTGAGCGATGCCAGGGCCCTGGCCCGGGTCAGCACGCCCTGCTGCGCAGACTGTCGCAGGCATCACGGAGTGCACTGAGGAAGCCGAGCCCCTGCTCCAGGGACAACAGGAAGGCCCTGGCAGGAAGCACAGCGGCCTCCCAGGACCGCAGCACCTCGTGGGTATCGATGGCCCTGCTGTTGAGCCCCGAGAGGGGGAAGCCCTTCCCTGCCCCCCAGAAGGTGCCTGTGTGGAAGGACTCTCAGGTTCAGAGGTCTCACAGCGGCAGAGGCTGCTCCTCAGTGCTGTCATCTGTCCTTCCGCTCCCCTGAACTCGGTGGCCTCGGTTGGCCCACAGATGGAGGGCTGTGCTCTTCCTTACTGCAGCAAGACGGGAAGGAGGGGAAGGTCTTCCGCCCTGGCAGGCTCTGGAAGCCTGGTGCCCAGGGGCAGGGCTCAGCCGCTCCGCAGGCTGCCTCGCCTGGTGGGTGCAGGTCCTACCCTCCTCGCGGGACAGCAGGGGGTGGTGGAGATTCCCCAAAATGCTGCTCCCCAGGTCTGGCTCCTGACCCCACAGCTGAGTTCCTCATCCACCCACCCTCTGGGCCAGAGTGCGGGGTACCTGGGGCATCCAACGGGGGAGCCTCCCGGTGCCCCCCACTTCAGATCCCGCCCCTTAGGCAGAGGCAGGAACAGCCCCTCTCTGGAAAGGGTTTTTCTCTCCTCCAAGTTTGTTCCTGTCCCTGAGATCTCGGAAAGTGTCCCGAGCCCGCTCTCTGAGTCTTGGGGACGCGGGAGAAGTCGCCAGTGGGCAGGAAAGCATAGCACCCAAGCCACACCACGCGGGCCCAAGCCCGGCCCCGCCCCAGGCAGCGGCCCCTCCCAGCGCCACGTTCCTGCCCGGGCCCCACCCCGGCCGCACCGGTCCCTACGCCGGTCCCCTCCGGGTCCCCATCCTGGTCCAAACAGTCCCCACCCCAGCCCCTCCCCACGCCCCTCGGCCCCCGCGGCCCTCACCCCAGCCGGGCCCTGCTCTCCTCCGGGCTGAGCTGGTCGAAGCCACGCGCGTCCTCGCGGCCCAGGAAGGCCTCGTGGTCGTACTGGAAGCTGCCGTTGCCCTCGGGCGGCCGCGCGCCCAGCTCGGAGTCAGGGCGCAGCACGCGCTCCTTGCGCAGCGTGGGCTTGGCCCGCGACGGCGACAGCGCCAGCGCCAGCGCCAGCGCCAGCCCGAGCCCCGCGCCGAGCCCCGCGCGCGCCATGGTCCGAGAGGACGCGGCCACCGCGCGCCCCACGCCCCGCGCGCCCATTGGCCGGGCCGGGCCACGTCGCCGCGGTGTCACCGCCCTCCGGCCTGCGGCGGGGCGGGCCCGGGCTGAGCCTCGGACGGAGAGGCCTGCAGGCGGGCGGGGCTCACAGCCACCCGAGGGACCTGCAGGATCTGGGGGCCGCAGTGTAACTAACATAGGGCAGAATGAGAGCGAGACGCGGAAGACCCGCGGATGGAACTGTGCGCAACCATAGCAACAGTGAGAGCCACGTTAAACGCCTTAGAGTCTCGCTCCAGGAGCACACTTGGGGTGCGCTCGCACCGTCAGAGATGGAGCCGGTCGGTCCCGAATCCAGGGTCAAAAGCTTAAATGCCCAACAGAGGCCTGCAGCCCGCTGGGGCCCATCTGAGGGGCACAGCCCCAGCCCCAGCCCCCACACCTCCACTTTCCCAAGAGAAATCGGAATTTCAGGAGTTTGTTTTATTTCTAATGTTGGCTTCACAGAAGCGCTGCGTGACTTGGCCCTAGGACCCTCTTGGTGCAGGAAATGTCCCCTCTCCGAGTCCTGCACACGGGACACCCGCCCAGGCCTTGAGTCTTAACTTTAGCGTGGACATAAATAGCCGCCTGGGGCTGGTGGCCGTGACCCTGGCAGTGCAGTGAGGCCCACAGGGATCTTCCTTCCTGGGGCACAGGCTCTGATGAGGCCACAGGCCCCGCCCCGTCCCAGAGAAAGGTAGAGGGCTGCTGGCCCGGGGTCAGACACGCGTCAGGGGATCCATGAGTCTCTGGAGCCCAAGCCCTGAGCCCAGGCCCAGGCCCCTGAAAGCTAAGACTGGGGAAGCAAGAACCCCACAGCCCTGGACAGCCGGACAGCGGGCCGGGGGAGGACAGTGGCTTTGGGGGTGGGGCCACATGACCTTGCCCCTCCCCTCAGCCTGGCAGAGACTCCTGGGGGCCTCAGGACTTTGCAGGGGCCCCGGATTTAGCTCAGTAATTCCGACACTTGCCTCAAAAGCACAAGGTTCCGAGTTCAATCCCCGGTACCCCCCCCCCCCCAAAAAGAAGGGAGGACTTTGCAGGGGGTTAAAACGCTGCCTCTGAGCCCAGACGTGCCCCCCCCCCCCCCGCAGGGCCACAGGCAGGGTTTCAGCGGAGGACAGGCGTCCCCTCTGGGTGTAGGAGCTTCCTGCTAGGTGCAGCGCCCTGTGGGGGTGGCTTAGTACAGTCTGTACTCTGCTGGTGAGCAGGACAGGATTGCTGAGTGGAGCTGAGAAAGGTGGAATGGGAGGAGCCACAGGGAGGGGCAGGAAGAGGATGAGGAGTGGGAACGGTGGACCCTGGCCAGACTGCCTGATGTGGCTTTTGCCAAGGCTGGCCCGGGGCACTGGGGCTGAGCAGACTCTCACATCCTGCACCTCATACAGTGCGCTTCCTGCCAGGCACTTCGATTGTTCAGACATTGCTGTGGCTCCTGGGAGAATTATCGGGGCCACAGCACTGCCAGAATCCGGAGATGTTTATGGAATTGCCCCACAGCTGACCCACAGGCTCTTCCTCCACCTCCCAGAGAGCTCGGCAAGTCCTTTGGCAAAGGTTCAGGAAGGGAGGGCACATCGTGTGCTTGCCTTCTTTGCTCGCACACGGGCTCTGCACTCGGCCCCTGGATGGGCAGAGCGATCTATCTATGCCTCATCATCTGAGCTCAGCCTGCAGTCGGCTGGGGAACAGGACAGAAGAGGAGCTGGGAAATGTCCCAGTGGAGATGGCAAGCAAGACCCAAGCAGGTGGATGGGTGGGTCAGGGAATGTGGAGGTGACAGGACGCGAACTGCAACCAGAACCTAGCCAAGCACCTCTTGTATCAGAAAGCCTGGCTTCCACCAGCTTCTGGTGGGTCCATGGGTGTGACCTTATTGCAGATAGGTGAGTTAATTAGATACCTCGTAGGCAGCTAGACAGGGCGGGCCTGGGAGGAACCAACCTGGAGGACAGTGAAGACACATTCACTGAAGGCCAGCACTGTAAAAGGAGAGAAACTACCACACCCACGTGGCAGTGATTGATATTCTAAATAGGTATCAGTCACCTGGGTGGGGGACAAAGATCTTCGGAGAAAGAGCCCTGACCCACCCCTTACCACAGAAAAGCCTTGCCCACTCCTGTGTGCTTGCTACTTGACTTGTTTCCCCATTGGATCCCAGTTAATCAATACTACCTAAGCAACTGTGCCTGTAATCTCACTAGTTGACTATATCTTTGTCCCACCTTGAACTCGCCTCACCTCATGGCCTTGTCCCATAAAACACCTTTGAGAAGCAGGGTCGGCAGGCAACCCACTTTCTGATCCCCCTTCTGTCTCTCTTAGACAGAAGCTGTCTTTCTCTCAATAAATCTTTCCTACTCTTAACCCCCATTGTTCCTAGCATTCATTCTTTGATTTTAGAGAACACGAACTCATGCTTCAGCCATGTAGCAGGTTTGGGAGTTAATTTCTTCTCCCTCTATTAGCTTGATCTGTCATCAAGGAGCCAGATGTTCTGGGTTTGGGATATGACTTTCCCTGGGCAGCAGGAAGGAGTGGGAGGGAGGCTTTCCTGGCATGCTTCTTTGGCCTGTCAGGGCTGCAGTGGCATCCCGGGCCTGCAGAAACCCGGGGTTGGTTTGGACCAAGGCCCAGTCCTCGTCCGGCCACTCGCTGCCTCTTCCCTCATAGCCCTGCTCTCTGGCAGGCCCAGTGCAAACACGGCCTTCTCCAGGACTGGATGTCTCCCGTAGGCTGCAGGTCAGAGTCAATTACTCCTTCTGCAGAATGCCCAGAGCTCTGCATGTCACACAGCACACTCTGCAGTCTGATTTCTGTGAACCCGCCTGCTTCTGTCTCTCCTCATGCTGAACTCCTTCAGAGGAGGGATTCCATCTGATCCACATCCGTGTTCATAAATCCAGTGCTGGGCACATCTGCTGCCTGCTCCGGAGGCCAACGTCCTCGGACCTGCCTCGGGCCAGGACCACATCCTTTCGGTTCTCCACTGTCCTATGCAGCACTGAGCACAGCACCGTCTGGATGGATAGCAAGAGGGTGCTGGCTGCCAACTTCTGCTTCCTTGTCATGGGGGCGTGAAGGAGGGACTGGATTCTCCCTCCCACTGGAAGCAAACAAACACAAAATATTTGAAAAGCAATTTTCAAGACACTAGACACCAGGCACTGAAGTGGAAATAAGCAAGGTGAGTCTGAAATCAACAAGACAGAACTTCTGGGGCACTAAGCAGAGCAGAACTAAGGTGTTTCCTGCAGATTCCTTGAGTCAGAGACACAGAAAGGTGTGGCTGGGGGAGTGAGCCAGCCAGGGTCCAGAGGCTAGCAGAGGAGGGGGCTGCAGAGCACCCCAAGACCTCAGTCTTGCCTCAGCAGTGCTGATCACTGCTCCCCCAAATGCCTCACCAAACAGAAGAGCAGATCTGAGAGATCCAGCTGTTCCCCCGTACCTTAACTTCACCCCAGAAATAAAGCTCCAGAAAACATGCAAGAATCATATATGTGATATATATTCATCACACACATCATATATATAGCATACATAGTCATCACACATATATATATGATATATATATTCATCAAAGAGGTTAGAACTTGAACAGAGGAATTCTGGAAGGATACAATTAAGTCTATAACAACTTTCCAGTCATAAATATTGATATATATATTCGTCACATACATATATATAGCATACATATTCATCACACATATATTGATATATAGTCATCACACACATCATAAATATGTGATATATATTCATCACACACATCATATATATACAATACGTAGTCATCACACATATACATGATATATATATTCATCACACACATATATATGATATATACATAGTCATCACACACGTCATATATATGTGATACATAGGAATCACACACATCATATATAGGATACATAATCATGACACACATCACACATATATGGTATATATTCATCACACACATCATATATGTGATATACAGTCACCACACACATCATATATGTAAGATACACATATTTATCACACACATAATATATAGGTGATATATATATATTCATCACACATAGTATAGTAGATATCATATATATACCACATCTATCTATCTCTTCAGCACCTAAGTAAGTGAAACTCAGTTTCTAGCATCTGATCCAAGACAGGACAGAGCAGGGAATCCCACAAAGGAGAATAATCACCAATAAAACAGACCCGGGTATTAGCTTGAATGGAGAAAAATACGAAGACATTTCTTGTAGTTGTATTCACATGTATTGAAGGTTGAAGAGACAGGAAATTACGAAAACACCAATTTCAGTGTCAGTGAGGGGCAGAGCTGGTTTATCAGGTGGAGTCAGGAAGTGAGACACCTGGGCAGTGGCTTCTGCTTGCTGAGCACAGGGACACAACTCTGGGGAGCGCACAGACGGCTGTCCAGGGAGTGAGGCCGATGTTAAGGGCCCTTGAGGCAGCTGCTGGGGTCTGGCTGACACTGCGAAGTCCTTAACCCGGGCAATCCTGCTCCAGAGATGTGGCCTCTGGGGATGGGCTCAGCTTCAGGGGGCTCTGAGGGAGTTCAGGGCGACCACAGGTCTGGGGTGGAGCGGAGACTCCCGGTGCCCGGTGGTAGTGGGCTGGCCCTGTAGGACTCTTAGCTTGCTGTTCTCACTCTTGCAAGGGATGAGGTAAGTTACGGAAGCTTAGGGCCGCTCCACCTTGTATTGTTAGCGGTGCTAGTCACTCCTCGTGGCTGGGACACAATATTGACACCAAAGTTTAAGGCTCACACTTCACTCCTCGGTCAGCTGGCTCCAAGACGGGACTGACAGGCTCACGACAGGGGCTGGCGGGAGGAGAGCCACTCTGCCAGGCCTGCAGGAGGGAGTGAGAGCCTGTCCTCAGGGCTGCAGGAGGGAGGAGACCAGGGGAAATGCAGGAGCACCTCTGCAGACCTCTGGTGTCACTCCAGCAA